GCCAATCCACAACAAAACCGTCCACAAGAACCAACCCTGAGACCCCACGACATCCAGTGACTTTTGGTGCAAGAACGTCACGCTTGCCATGGCAAAACCTGGAGGCAAACAAATTGTTTCTTGGCATGGGCCCCCCACAGCATTCCATGAGGCCGGCCTTTTTCATCCTGAGTTGTCCTGTGGTGGCCCCGGGGCCTAGGCAAGGCAGCCCAGAGGCCGAACACGGCGAAAAGCCTCCCGTCCGGATGTTTTCATGACACGACGGGGTCACACACACACAAAAGCCTCCCGTTCTGATGTGTTCATGACACCAGGGGGCCACACACAAAAGCCTCCCGTCCTGATGTGTTCATGACACGAGGGGGTCACACATACAAACGCACACACACACACACACACACACACACACACACACACACACACACACGCGCGCACACACACATCCTCGCACGAGCTAGGTTCAAGTCCGTAGAACAAATCGACGTGGCCAGCTTCGCCGTGTCGTGTCGATGGGAGCTCCGAGATACCCTTTGCATATAGAGGGGCCGCGGGGGGGCAAGGCGCATCCGCCACGGGCAGGAGCGGCAAACTCGGACACGGCACCGGGCCGACGAGCCGCCTGCTCCTTCTCCTCCTCCTCCTCCTCCTCCTCCTCCTCCTCCTCCACATCAGCATCATCCTCCGAGGGGGTCTGGGTCTCCTCCTCCTCCTCCCCCCCCCTCCTACTCCTCCTCCTCCTCCTCCTCCTCCTCCTCCTCCGCCTCCTCCTCCTCCTCCTCCTTCCCCTCTTCATCCTCCGAGCGACGAGCGCGCCCGAGGGGGTCCTGGGCCTCCTCCTCCTCCTCCTCCTCATCCTCCGCGTGCTCGTCGTCGGCCATGGCCGGCCGGGGCGCCGAGGCTTACATGCCGATGAGCAGCTGGGAGCCAGTGGGGCGGCGGCCGGCGGCCCAGGGCCTCCTACACCCCCCCCGCCCCCGCAGCTTGGGCTCTCCGAGCGGGCGCCCCGCGGGAGTGGCGGTGGGCCCGACGACGGGGATGCGAGCGAGGATGCGAGGAGGAGGAGGAGGAGGAGGAGGAGGAGGAGGAGGAGGAGCAGAGGGAGGAGGGAGGAGGAGGAGGAGGAGGAGGAGGAGGAGGAGGAGGAGGAGGAGGGAGGGGGAGGAGGAGGAGGAGGAGGAGGAGGAGGAGGAGCGGAGGAGGAGGAGGAGGAGGAGAGGAGGAGGAGGAGGAGGAGCGCCCCGTGGCTTGCGGGAGGAGGAGGAGGAGGGGAATGAGGAGGACGATGACGAGGAGGAGGAGGAGGAGGAGGAGGAGGAGGAGGAGGAGGACGACGAGGAGGATTTTAGAGAAGGAGCAGGAGGAGGATCAGGAGAAGGAGGCGGAGGAAGAGGAACACGAGGCCCCCCCCTTTTACGGTCGACTGCTCGCCAGGGGGTGGGTGGGGGGAGCGGGTCCCGAGGGGAGCGGGTCCTCCGATGTCTTCGTTCGCATGTTTTGTGGTTGGCTTTGCTTTCGGGGGCCCTCCCCGGCCCCCGGGGCGGTCGGCAGAGAGCAGCTCAGGAGATGAGGATCTCGTCCAACGGAACGGATTTGGGTCGGGCATGTCCTCCTACAGGCAGGTTCTGGAAAGGCAGTCGAAATGTTGAGAGCATCTGCGAAAAAAAATCAAAGTCGTCCCCTGGCTATTTTTCCAAAGTTTGCAAATTCCTCCGGTAGAGGGACATGCCCGACTTGAGGGAAGGCCCTGGGATCCAGGGCCCGTCTCCCTCAGTGCCCGCTTCCCCCATGCTAATGTACGCGGTCAAGGATTGCCGCAGAATGGGAGCCGCAGTGCTCCCTGAAGCCTCTCGAGGAAGGCCTGGGTGCCGCCCTCACGGCGCATTTTTTCGCGGGAGGTGGGCGCGCGTTGGAACCCGACGACGCTCAGGGCAGAAAATGGCACGCGAGGGCTGCGGCCCGCGCGCCTAGGGCCTAGCCCCGTGCGGGTCGGCATTCTTGGCATGAGGTCGGGCGTGTCCTCCTCAAGGGGGACTTCGACGGAGAACTGGAACATAGTCAAAAAAACGAAGAAGCCAAAGTAGTTCAACATAGACGAAGCGTCGCCCCCAGACTATCTTCAACTCTTTTTGGACTTTCCTCCTGTAGAGGGACAGGCCCGACTGACTACCTACCAGACCACCCCAACCCAACCCGAAGACCCGAATTTCGGGTTGAGGGGGGTAAGGGCTCCACACGTGTTTTTTAGATGTTTGCCGACCCCCCCCCACTGGAACTCGAGGGTAAATCTGAGCCTTCGGGTTGGGTTGGGGTGGTTGGGTGGGTGGTGGCCGACTTCATCTTGGCAGGACCCGGCGCTCCTCGCCTCGCTCCTCGCCCCCCACCTGGCGAGGCGGCGAGCTTCTGGGCGGCGGCGTGCCGCCACGGCGGCCCCCCGGCGAGACACGCCGTGCCTCGCGCGCGGAGGGCGCGTCGCTTCGCTCCGCGGGGGGCGGGCGGCTCGGGAAAGCTCGGCGCGCGGACGCCTCGGGGCCGCGAGGGGGATACTCCAGATTTCGTATAAATGGAGGGGGGTCTCATTTCGGGGGGGGTCTCTTCCAGGCTATCTTGGAGATTGGGAGGGTTCTGCCACGGGGGAGGTCTGAAATGGCTTGTCTTGGAGGGTCCAGACCCCCTGCCTTTTATTACGAAATCTGGAGTAGCGTGCAGCACCCTGGCGGAGTGGGCAGGTCCCCGAGGATCCATCCCGCAGGCGGTGGTGCTGGAAGACTCCCAGCCTCGGGGCTGCTGGGAAGGGGGGGGGGGTCCAGGCTCTGCCCTCGGCTCTCGTCGAGGGTCCACGGGAGCACGCACGCTCTCCCTGGCAGGAGGGGCTTTCTGCCTAACGAGTGGGGATGGCGATGACGACGACGCCACCGTCATCGTCATCGCATCGTCATCGTCATCGCCATCATCGACAGGACGCCCGACCCGCTCGGACACCTCTCTCTGCCCGAGCGCGCGCTCCAACGGGCGCGGTGGCGGGGAGCCTGGCGGCGTTGCGGCACGCGACCTCCAGGAGGACCCCTGCGCTTCAGACGAGCGCACGCCAGCATGGACCAGGGATCCGTGGACCTGGTGCGCTGGCGCCAGACCCCTGCATCGAGGAATCGGGTGTTGCTAGAGGTGCCCCTGGCCCAAGGTGCCCCCAGCTTTTCGCTCCACTCCGGAGCCCCCTGGGGCCCTCTGGGCCTCGTGAGGGGTGCTCTGGAGGCCGTCTGGGCCACCCCGAGAATCCTGGGGGCACCTTGGGCCAGGGGCACTTCTGGCAACACCAGAGGGAAGGTCGCCCCCAAAAACAGATCGCCGGTGCCGCCTCGTCTGGCGACGGAGGGCGCCGATGGAGCAGGCAAGCGGGGCCCGTCCCCGATCCACGCGCCTTGCTCCACGTCTGCGCTTCCGCGCTTCGGGCCTCGGGGCGTGCTCCACGACGGCGCCGCCTCTTCGACCCCGGGGAGGCCGCGTGCGGCCAAGGAGGGGCCGCGGCGCGAAGCCATGCTGGGCACGAGAGCATGCAGGTGCAGGCGTGGGCACGCGCGGGCAGAAGCGGGGGGGGGGCCCTCCGCCCTCGAAGCTCGAGAAAGCGAGCTTTTCTCCCTCCTCCCTCCTCCCTCCTCCCTCCCTCCCTCCCTCCCTCCCTTCCTCCCTCCTCCCTCCCTCCCTCCCTCCTCCCTCCCTCCTCCCTCCTCTCTCCTTCCCCCCAGCCTCTCGGCCCCCTCGAACAATTCTGTTTGGAGAGGAAGGGGCTCCCGACCAGCTAGAGCACCCACGTCGGTTTCTGACGCCACGTGGATCGTTCACCCCGACCGACCGCGGCCGTCCGATGGCGCAGATCGTTGGCTATCGGCCGAATCTCGGCCACTAATGGGGACCCTCATCCGACGCCCGCGCTGGGGTCGCCAACGCGTGGACTAGAAGAAGAAAACACGCCATAGACACAAACTTTTGGCGCCCCGCGCGGATTTCTTGGATCTGCGCTGGACCCCCCTCCCTGGCGCGCGGAGCGCGCCAGGGGCCAGCGCCGATCCGAGAAGTCCGCGCGGACCTTATGCCATTGTTCGTTCTGCGAGTGCGCGCCAGGGAGGAGGAGGAGAAGGAGGAGGAGGAGGAGGAGGAGGAGGAGGAGGAGGAGGAGGAGGAAAGGAGAAGGAGGAGGAAGGAGGAGAGGAGGAGGAGGAGGAGGAGGAGGAGGAGGAGGAGGAGTGGGGGAGGAGGAGGAGGAGGAGGAGGAGGAGGAGGAGGAGGAGGAGGAGGAGGAGGAGGAGGAGGAGGAGGGGGAGGAGGAGGAGGAGCGAGGAGGAGGAGGAGAGGAGAGGGGAGGAGGAGGAGGAGGAGGAGGAGGGAGGAGGAGGAGGAGGAAGAGGAGGAGGAGGAAGGAGGAGGAGGAGAGGAGGAGGAGAAGGAGGTCGGAGGAGGGGGGAGGAGGAGGAGGAGGAGGAGGAGGGGGAGGAGGGCGGGGAGGGAGGAGAGGAGGAGGAGGAGGAGGAGGAGGAGGAGGAGGAGGAGGAGGAGGAGGAGAAGGGGAGGGAGGAGGAGGAGGAGGAGGAGTGGAGGAGGAGGAGGAGGAGGAGGAGGAGGGGGAGGAGGAGGAGGAGAGGGGGCCGGAGGAGGAGGAGGAGGAGGAGGAGGCGGAGGAGAAGGAGGAGGAGGAGGAGGAGGAGGACGGAGGAGCGATCGCGGAGTTGCGAGGAATTGCCAGCGTCCAGCGCGGAGCGCCAAAAGTCTACGTTTCGATGGAGGCGGTGCGGACCTGCCATGGGAGACCGGGCCTGCACGCCATCGGGCGCGTGATGCGCAGCCAGACGGGGGCGAGGCGGCCTTCCGGCGCCTCTCTTCCTTCTCTCCCCTCACTGTCCTCGCGCACACTCTTCCTGTTCGGCCGCACTATCCCCTCTGCCTTTCCTCTTCCTTCCCTCCTCTGACTGACTTCCCTGTCCCCGTCTTCCTTCTCGGCCGCACTTCTTTTCTGCCCGATCCATCGCCAAGCACTGCACACTACGGCTCAGATTGAGCCAGCAGCATCCCAGAGACAAGCTGGCGACCACTGCACGCCACCGTCGCTGCGCGATAACAGTGGGCTGCGTGCAAGCTAGAAGTTCCGTCTGAAGAAGGAGGGGTGTAACAACGAACCCGCTGGGGCCTCAGGAGGGTGAAGAAGCTCTTGACTCTGGCTTGACGTTCAGCGTGAGCGTCCGTCGACGGATGCCACCTCAGAACGGACGGCGTCGATGGTAATACTTGCGCCATGTTTTGGCGGCGCGCACAGGGGGGATCGGGGAAGGGGGGAGAGGCTTCTGAGAAGGAGGCTACTTCTTAGAAGGCGCCGACCTTACATCTATGGATAAGGCCCGCACCTTCTGAGAAGCAGCCTCCTTCTGAGAAGCCTTCCCCCTCCCCTCCCCGTTACCCCCCCCCTGCGCGTGGCCGAAGGTTGCGGAAGGCGGACTATCAAACAGGACAGCCGGGGGGGGCGCGCCTGCGGGCCAGAAGGGACTGCAAGCGCGCACAGGAGGGGGCGGGGTCAGGAAGCGGACCTTCCGAAAAGGCGGGGGGGTCTTCCAGCAAGGGCCAAGCGAGTTCCGTGAAGTCTTCGTAGAAGCGCCTGGGCTCCTCTTCCTCCTCCTCCTCCTCCTCCGCCTCCTCCTCCTCCTCATTCTCATCTTTCCTCCTCCTTCTCCCCCCCTCTCCTCCTCCTCCTCCTCCTCCTCTCCTCCTCCTCCTCCTCCTCCTCACCCCTCCACTCATCCTCCTCCTCCTCCTCCTCCTCCTCCTCCTCCTCCTCCTCCTCCTCCTCCTCCTCCTCCCGCCCCTCCTCGTTTTCCTCCTCGTCGCCCCTCTCCCCCTGACTTTCTCCTCCCCCTTCGTTCCCCTGCGCGCGATACCCGCTGCGGCCTGCGCGCCTGGGCTCGGGCTCCGGCTGCCCCCCCACCTCGCCTCCCAACAAAAGGCCGCGTGCCGGCGCTGCCCCCACCGGGCAGCGGGCTGCCTTCTGGGAGCCTCCACTCCCCCAGGCTGAAGGGGCCCTGGGACACACAAATAGATACACACAAAAAACCGGATTCCCAATATTTTCCTATATTTTTGGGGGATTTTCGTCTTCCCCCCCACTTCCCATATTGTTGCATACTTTCCTGATTATCGACGATTAATTGTGCCTGTGTGTGTTTTTGTTCCCTCCTGACAGGCCCCCCTTAGAAGGGGCCCTGCATTCGAGGAAACCTCCGTGGACGGCCGACAACGTCGCACCACCCGAGGTAAACAAACAACATACCTATATAGATCTGCAAAAGCACACTCGCTCGAGGTTGCAGTAGGAGGGCGAACAACATCATAAACATAACAACCCGGAGGTCCACGCATATTACTTGGATCGGCGCTGGGGCCCCCCTGGCGGCGCCTCCGGCGCCGCCCCCGGCGCGCTCTGCGCGCCAGGGAGGGGGGTCCAGCGCGGATCCAAGAAATCCGCGCGGACCTCCGAGTTTCATGCGCATGTACTCCAGATTTCGTAATAAACGGAGGGGGGTCTCATTCTGGGGGGGGGGGTCTCTTCCAGGCTATCTTGGAGGGCCTGGGGGGTCTGGGGACGATGTTTTGGAGGGTTCTCCCACGGGGGAGGTCTGAAATGGCTTGTCTTGGAGGGTCCAGACCCGCTCCCTTTTATTACGAAATCTGGAGTATGTATGGCTCACTCCAGTGCTCCGTTCGAGGAGACATCTGTGGACGGCCGCTCACGCCGCACCACCCGAAGGGGGGGAGCGGGGAGAGGCGGGGAGGCGGAGGGGGCACGGGCGTCCACGGCGACAGCAGGGCCCCAGACCGCCGGAGCCGGCAGCAAACTCCAAGCCGACCAGCGCCGAGAGGCCGCACGCAGCCTGGCAGGGCGCAGCGCCGCAGCGACGACGCCGACACAGACAGCCGAACGCGACCGAGCGCAACCGACCGCGACGCAGCCGGACCGACCCAACCGCGGACACCCGTGCGATCTGAAGTCGGGCCTGTCCCTCTACAGGAGGAGTAGTCAAACACAGTCAAAACGTATCCAAAAGTACGGAACATATTCCTCTCATGAGCATTTGGGGCATGCTGTTTGAGCATGTCTAATTTTTCGCTGAAAATCCCCCTGTAGGGGGACAGGACCGACCTAAGCGGAATCCCCTCGCGCCACCCGATCGAGGCTAGGGGCCTCCTAGATGGGGTCCGAGTAGATGGGGTCGGAGGATCGCGCTGCATCGCCGATGCGTCGGCGATGCACCGGTGATGCGTCGGCGATGCACCGGCGATGCATCGTCGACGTGGGCGATGCATCGGCGACGTCGACGTGAAGCAAATCGGGCTCCACATCGAGCCGCATCGCCGATGCATTGCCGATGCGGCACGATCCTCCGACCACACCTGCTCTGACCCCATCTGGGAGGCCTAGAGAGGCGCAGGGAGGCGCAGGCAGGCGCCCTTCCGCCCGGGGGG